CCTCATCTGTCTCCCGCGGAGCGGCTGGTAGTTTCGAACCGCTGACCTTAAGGTTCGCAGCCCGATTCGTAACCACTACGCTACCAGAGCTCCTCTAGGGTCTCCTATAAGTCGGAATCAACTCCGTGCAATGGGTTTGGTTTTCAGTTTTGTAAGACATCCAGTTAGTAAATCATAAGGCAATTCCCAAGTTACCAGTGTCCAACTTACGCATCACTTACCATAAAGCCTATTAGATGCAAAATTCCAGATATATACAGTGGTCCATAATAACACATGGGTGACATGCATCAAAACAACATCATTATTATTGTATTATTTTGATAATTTTTGTGTATCTAGAAGTGTTTCTTTAATTTTTGTGCACAGCTTGGTACACTAATGCACTAAGACAAGCATTTGATGAACCAAACCGAACTGTTTGGATTTACGTCCAGATTTGACTTAGAGACAAAGGACAGGAGCTTGTTTCTAATCTGGGGACTGCCTGTTCTACCCCATATCAGAGGTAAACTTTCTATGTTATGAAAATTTCCTTCTCACCTTACCTCCTACTTCAAAACCAAATGCCTCTTTTTAAAGACCAGTGCTGCCCAATAGAACGCTCCATGATGGTGAGCATGCGCTCTGAGGGCACTGCCCAGTATACTAGCTAGTGGACTCATGTGGCTGGTGTCACGAAGGAACTGAATTCCTCATGTTATTTAACTCTAATGAATTTAAATTAAACAGCCACACGTGACTGAAGGCTACATAACAACAAGAAGCCGTGACCTAGAATGGCTTAGACTCTTTGGGAATGGTCCCAGCTGTCTGGTTTCACAGTCACTCCAGGAATTCTGGTAAACACATTTTAGAACCACTGCTCAAGGAGCCATGGTGGTGTAGTGGGTTATGTGTTGGGCTGCTGACTGCAGGGTCAGCGGTTCAAATCTACCAGCAGCTCCATGGGAGAAAAATGAGGCTTTCTGTTCCCATAAAGATTTACAACCTCTGAAACCCTATAAGTTGGAACTGACTTGATGGCACGTAGCAGAAAAACTCCAGGAAAAATAAAGGACTGTATAAAAACGAAGGCATGATCACAGTACATCACTTCACCCAGCATTAAGCGATGTGTGTGAAATTATAATAACACGAAAGCTGACTTTTGACTGAGCCAAAATTACAATATAACTTGGGGGCACAAAGTAAAGAGGAAGATATGTTTGAGAGTGCTAATCTTTCATTTCCCACACTGTGAAATCAATATCTAACATTGACAAGTAAAATACTAGTAGTATAAATCTACTCTGCCAATAGGTATTGGGCATGATTTTATAAACGAGACAGAAGTGGTTTTTCTAACATGCATTCTTGGTGAAAGACAAGACTTCACCCTGTGGGTGTCAGGTACCCTTGCTCCTGCATACCTTTCAGACAGGGGACACTGAGCCCCTCTTACTCTTAGTGTAGAAGGAGCATTTTCCTTTAAACGGCTTTTCTCCCTCAGATTGACATGGGAAAAAGGAAGAGTGACCTGACATTCACTATCCAGACTTCTCAGTGGACCGATGTGTTACCTTCTAATGATTTCCCTACACGGAGTATCTTTAAAAATGATCAAAAGACAAACGCATTTCTGAGTAAACTCTACATTCTGTTGTCATAATTTTTGGAGGGTAAGGGAAGGTTGTTTTGGATGTCTGTTTCTTTAGTTGATTTGAGACCATTGGAGATACTATAGGGAACAAAGGGAAAAAAGAAGTATAAATAAAAAGAATTCCTTTTATACAAGTTGAAAAACCACAGGACGTGCTGCATTTTTTTAACACTCCAGGTGCGATTGGAGATTACGTATCCACTGCAGGAGAGGGGAGAGTTAATTAAAATTTTTTGCTCCTACTCACAGAAAGAAATGTCTTTCCGTTTGATAAGCAGGCTGGCTTTTGAGTGCTGTTTGTGCTTGCTTCTCTCTTTGCTGGAGTGTCACAGAAAAGCAGATCAAAGGGACCCCTCCATCCAGATATGTTGCCTACCACCTTTCTTAGCTAATGGGCTTAAAAGCACTCACTGTGTGGAACCCAACTCGTATTTTAGAAATGCCTTCTTCTTACTCTTTATCATTTGCATTTATAAAATGGAAAATCACATTTCACATTCATTAAATCAAGACCAGCCCAAAGAGTTGGACTTGAAGAGACTGGTGGAGGATGACACCTCACCCCCTATCCTTTTGTAGGTAACTTTCCAACTAACAGTTCCCTCAGGCTGGTCTGTGTTTGTTTTATTGTATTTTTCCTTTTCCTTTTGGCTTTTTCATTCTCTACCCTATAGCTGATATCTGTCCCCTACCTTGAGGGGGGAAATGTTTGGGGAAAATCCTGCTGTCTTTCTCTTTAAGATAGTGGCAAAATGAACGAAAATAGAGCAAAAAAGCAGCAGCCCATGGTTGAGGCCTCTGAGCAGGTGGGTCAGGCTTCAGCGGGGGTCCTTCATTGTCTTGCCACTCTGGGTGCTGGCAGAGGAAGGAGAAAACTGGGCCGAGGCACACACGCACACTCGCCAATAAAAGGACTCCATTCTGCCACTCAGGGCTTTGTGAGGCGCCAAAGCTTGTCCTGGTTGCCATGGCTACTGTCTGATTGTGGCGGGTTTGTCACAGTGCTTGATAAAGTGGGAAGGTTATTCTTGATAGGCCCAAGTAATCATAACCTTGCAAAGCGAGAGTGTGGGTCTTAATTTTTTCCCCCCTTTTCTCTTTACACCAGGAGTGCAGGGATGGGGGCAGGGTGCTCCTGATAAAGCAGCCAGCCACATAGTGCTTCCTTCAACAGAGGAAGGCCATGCCCCCGCAATGTGGACACTGGCTCAGCTGTCTGGAAGATGGGGGTCCCCTGCTGGTTTGGGTGGGACACAGACTGAGGGCTTCTCCTGCCTATCTCTTGTAAATTGATTATACCTGCACTTCTCTCTGCTTTCCTCCCTCCCCTTTCCCCTTTCCTGCTCCTTTTCTCTTTCCCCTGCTTCCTCTCCTCCCCACTTTTCTCCTTCCTCCTCCCTGCTGTTTCTTTTAAAGGCCTCTCTATTTCTTTTCTCCACATGGAGACTGATGGGAAAGGTTAGACTGCAGGTAAGAGTTCGACTGTAGAGACCTAAGAGGGAACTTAGCTGCTTCAGGACTGCTATTCACACACGGATGCCTGGACCCACTCCCAGAGTTCGGATTCAGCAGGTCTGGGCATGCTAACAAGTTCCAGGTGATGCTGATGATACTGGCCCAGGGGCCACACTTTGAGATCCACTGTTGTGGGCCAATACAGTTGAGGAAAAGAAGGTTCCTGAAGCATAAACTAATTGCCAGGGGCTCAAGTGACTTGGTAGCCTCGCTGGGACTGGTGCCAGTCATTGAAGATTTAAAAGCAGTTTAACGAAGCAAGGGTTGTTGTTTGTGCATCCTCATCTGGCCCCCCAAACCAGCCAAGAGAGACAGTTCTGTTTCTACAATTTCCCCCTGTATAGATGGCCCACACCAAGAACCATCCCCATCTGAGCAAACCATCTCAAGTTAGGTCCTACTTCCCAACTTTATTTCCTGGTTTGCACATGCTTGCAGTCTCCTCCTGGAATGCCCCTTCCCCAACTCCACCTGCCAATGTCTGTCACCCTAGAGCCCCATGAAGATCACCTTGACCATGTGTAGGATCTCTCTTTTCTGACAGTCGGGACCATTCTGCATTTTCGTTGTTTGTGCATCTTACTTTGTGGCTTCTGCTGTGGCCTTCCAGCATGGAGCCTTTGTTCACTTTGAACCTATCATCACTTTAAAGCACCCAATGAATGAATCCATGGGGTCCCTTAAGTTGGAATTTGGACCCAAGTTTGAGACATTCTCAAGCCAACCTAACACAGAAGGGGCCATCCTTTTGATTTCAGTGAGGACCACACAGTAAGAAACGAAACCTTTTAGGGTGAGAATGCATGCATCTGGGATCAAATGTGTTGTCCTCATATTAGGGTTGTCTTCTTACGGGAGCCAGCTGATGAAAGGTCTAGTTTCTTCCATCCCCATTGCTGAACTCAATCCCTGTAAGGCAGAGTGTGCGACCCAGGTGCAAACCCTTTATGCAGTGTTCACGCATACACGTGCTTGTGTGTGAGCTGCTCTGCCTGGATGCAGGTGATCCGGTCATTAGTAGATATAATTTGACTCCCAGGACACACAACACGTGCCTTGTCATATGCCCTGAATGGTCTGTGAGAAGATAATTAATTGTGCTTCTTCAGAAAAACTCACAGAAGACTATTTGCCCAGATAAGAATAAAACAAAATTAATGGATTAATCCTTTGACTAATTCCTTGCCGACTACACAGCTGAGCGGGACCGGGAAGGAAATTCCATGTTGGCAGTTGGTTCCAAACCTTTTAATTCTTCAGCTAGCATCAGATGCAAGTGGGGGCACCCCGTCCTCTCTGCTTTGTTGGGTTTGGGGATGGGATGTCCACCCTCTTGTGCCCCTGGGAGATGGTGTGAGTGAGGCAGCAGCAGTCCTAATGGTGGCGTTTCTCCCCAGGGTGTTGAGGTGCAGACAGATTATGTGCCCCTGCTGAACTCTCTGGCGGCGTATGGCTGGCAACTCACCTGTGTGCTACCAACTCCTGTCATCAAGACAACCAGGTAACTACAACAGGAGGGATGCTTATTACCACTCACTCACTCTGTGCTAAATACTGCTCCTAATAAGCATTTTATGTAGCCCTTGGAGGTATGGTTAGTGTCAGGAGAGGGATTTCAGCTCCTTCTCTTTTGAACCAGTACACTCCCTCTTCCTGATCAGGGCTTACCCAGTGGATGCCCCAGATCACCACTTGGGCCCAGATGCAAAAGAAATCCAGCACCTGCCATGTGCCCTGTGTAAAGCTAGGTAGGAACTTTATATATCAAATTTTCTTTAGTCCTCAAAGAGAAAGAGAATCCTGTGCAGTGATATTTTTTATTAAACCCATTTTACAACTGAAGAAAGTGTGCCAGGGAGGTTAGAAGACTTCCAAAATCATGATGCTGGTCAGTAGCCTCCCAAAGAGGATATGAAAACCCGGACTCTCAAACTTGGCTTCTGACATCCCTCACAATCTCATGCTCACTGCTGATTGTCCACCCTCCACTCCCTCTTCTCTCTCAAACCCTTAAGCTTGTCCCTGTACCAACCCTAAAAGGCCTTCCATCTGTAATTTGGGGTTTGCCATTTAAACTAGGTGCTCTGGTAATGTAGTAAGTTGTGTGTTGAGCTGCTAACCTTGTGGTTAGCAGTTCGAATCCACCAGCTGTTCTGCGGGAGAAAGATGAAAGCTTTCTGCTCCCATAAAGATTTACATCCTTTGAAGCCCTACACAGGGTTCCTGTGAGTCACAGAACTGACTCCACAGCACGCTGCAGCATTTAAATAAGAAGGAGCCCAGGTGCTACTGTGGGTTAAGCATTGGGCTGCTCACTGAAAGGTTGATGGTCTATACCTACCAGCTGCTCTCCAGGAGGAAGAATGAGACTGTCAGCTTCTGTAAATATGTAGGGCCTTAGAAACCCATGGAACAGTTCTACAATGTTACTGTGAGTTGGAATCGACTCAGCGGCAGTGGATAGTTTTATCCCTGTGTAGTGCAGATGCTTCACATGTTCACCTGCTAACCCAAAGGTTAGAAGTTGGAGTTTATGTAGGGGTACCTCAGAAAGGCCCGGCAGTCAACTTCTGAAAATTCAGCCACTGAGAATCCTGTGTAGCACAGTTCTACTCGGACACTCACGGGTTCACCGTGCATCAGATTCTAGGGCAACTGGTTAAATGAGTTGTAAAATCACCAAGTGATTTTGTGGTACACAATTGGTGTTCCCTCTGTTCTTCCATTCCCTCTGAGACTCCTAGAGGATGCAATAACACATTTCCTTAGCAGAGAAGACATCTGCAAAATAGAAATTTAACGAAAGTCACTAAAAGGGTAGGAGCGTGAGGAGAACACCATGATCTCCCTTGCAATATTTCTATCATCTTTAAAGGCAGCTCTGTGGAGTCCTATCTTCCTGGGAGGAAAGAGCCATCCCCGCTCCCTTTTTGTGAATTCCCTGCCTGTCACCTGGGACAGAAGCAGTAATCACTGAGCCTGCTAGGAGCCACACTACCTCTCCACAGGGCAAGATCACAGCCAAGCTCCTGTACACAGTGACCTCTCTGCTGGCTGTTCTGAAATGGTTGATCCCCACCTACCCAGCCATCCAGAGCCAGCCAGGCCCCTCAGTGAAACCATTACCAGAGATAGATTGGAAGGGGCCTCCCACCCCTTTGAGATTCACTGAAGCAGCTAGTTTGTCATCATGCTAGGCTGTGACTTGCCATCACATTGTGAAACTGGCTTTGCAGGACCACGCACATGGCATTTGTTGGGTCCTTGGAAGCAAGGTGGTAGGCCTGCAGGGTTGGAGAGTGGAGGAGTGAGCTTCTTGATTTCTAATAACTCACAATTTGGTGGGGGGGTTTCTTTGTCTGGTGATCTGCCTTAATGACACTAGGGACTACAGCAGCTGTCTCAGGTCTTCTCCAGGTACAAGGAAGCTCATTCTCTGCTCTGCCTGTGTTACAGGGAGGGGACTATATCCACCAAACAGATTGTCTTTCTTCAGAGACCATGTCTACCTCAGAAAATCAAGAAGAAGGAATCAAAGGTAGGTGACCTTGAAGGCTTTCCTCGGTTCTCTTTGCAGTGGGTCTTCTCCAGCAGCTGTGTGGAGAGCCCCTTCTAAATTCCAAGGACTCTGAACCCAAGGAGCACCTGAGCCCCTTTGAAAAACAAAGCACACCTGAGGCTGCAGAAATGGGGGTTTGGGGGGAGGGTGAGTGGAGCTCAGAGGCCTTGTCTACCAGCCTCCTGCTCGCCAAGCCAGAAGGAAGGGAAGACAGCTATTCCCAGAAGCCTAAAAATAGGGGCCTGGAGGCAGCTGCAGTCTGTCCATGGTGAGGATGGCTTGAACTTGTGCCCACTTTCTCTGTGCTGTCATCTCATTACAAGCTGCCTGCCCCTTAGGTCCTTCAGGACATCAGGAGTTAGGAGGCCATGAGGTGATATTGGCAGAGACACCCTGCCAGAGTCCCTTCTTGACAAGACTCCTGTCCCAAGGGCCTGCGTGTTCCAGCTGCTGCTGCAGACACAGGCCAGCGTTAGCCTGTAGCCTTGAGTCCTCAGGCCAGGCTGTCTTAAGGCTCCAACCCCCCCACCCCCCCACCCCCGGGTGCTCTGTCCTCTGACTGGATTTCACAGGCACTAGCCCAGAAACAGACTCCCTGAGACCATGGCCATTCTCAGAAAGCCTTCACTGTGTTTCCTGAAGTCCAGCCAAGTTGTCCCCTTCTGCCACGGGACGCTGATTGTCCAGACCTCCAGGCTTTGCAGCGATGTTTTTCCTGCGGCCGTTTTACCAGGTGCTTAGGATGAGGCCAAGGAATCCACTGGTCCAACACAGGTACCACCTGGATCCAGCTCAGAACCTGCTGGGCCTACTTCGTGCCCTCACACCTAGCCCCTCCCCCATGCTCCTCACTCTCAGTTCCTCATCTTTGGACATGGAGCCCTGGACAGGAGCATCCAGCAAGTGAACAGATTGGAGTAGCCCCTCACCAGCCAACAAATCCACAGGGAGCCCACTTGTAGAAGGAATGCCAAGAAATAGTGTCTTGGAGCCAGATGGGCTGGGTTGCAGAGGAAAGACTTTCTCCAAGCTCTGAGACATTAATGTGACAGGTGACAGCAGCGGTGGGCCAGAAGGCAGCCCCCAAACCCACCATTACCCACCAGGAGCAGTCAGGCACCGGCTGCAAGATGAATCAGCTAAAGACCACTCTCTGAATCAGCCAAAGACCACGCTCTGTTACGGCTCAGCTGTGGGCTCGTGGAAGCTGCATGAACTCATGGAAAGAGTGACATTAAGCACTTGAATTCTCCTGCCAAACAGTAAAAGAAATCAGACTTCAGCTCTTAAGTGAGGGGTTAGGTTAGCTCCACCTTTTCGTGCCATGGTGCTGGTGGTGTCCTGTGGCATTGGTTCCAACCCATAAAGACCCTGCATAGGGTGTCCGAGGCTATAAATCTTCATAGGAGCAGAAAGCCTCATCTTTCTCCTGAGGAACAGCTGGTAGTTTCGAACTGCTGACCTTAAGGTTAACAGCCCAACTCCTAACCACTCCTGGTTATAGGTGGGTTCCAAAGGAAGGAAGAACATCGTATCCACAAAGAGAAACAAGCCAGGGGGAGCATGAACAGAAGGGTATTTCAAAGGTTGATTTTGGAAACTGCAGTAATGAGGTAGAATGACATCCTTTAGAGAAAGATGGTCAGTGGAAACTTGCCCTAGGTGGTGCAGACAACTAAGTGCTCAGCTGTTAACTGAAAATTGGGAGGTTCAAACTCACCCTGGGGCTCCTCGGAAGAAAATTGTGGTGATCTTCTGAAACATCAGCCATTGAGAACCCTGTGGAGCACCGTTCTGCAGTGACACACACGGGCCGTCATGATTCAGAATCATCTCCACAGTAACTGTAAACTTGAAGCCCAGTTACACAAAGAGGAGTTGACGGCTTTTTCATGTATCTACGAGGGGGCTTTCAAAAAGTTTGTGGGGAAAACACCCATTATCTTTTCATTTCATTTTTCCTTGTCCTCATCCCAAAGATGGTATCAAGTACTTGTTCTGTGTGAGAACTTTCAGGTCAACTCATTGGTGGAGCCCCAAAGAGAAGGACTTTGTAGTAGCTAAACTTTTTTTTTTTTTGGTGAAAAGATGCACAATTTCTATATGTGAAATTCAGTGACATTGGTTACATTCTTCGCGTTATGTAGCCTTTCTTAAAAACCTTGTCCTACCAATTTCACCATCATCAACACAAACTGCTGTCCCCCTAAGCTTCTCATCTATCGTTTCAAGTTGCATTGTCAGTTACATCACAGATAATTCTTTAACAGGGTACAATGCTTAATGCGGACATTCTTTTCTAATAAGGCTACACTGTGATTTGGTTCAAAGATGACTTCAGGGGATAGTTTCAGTTCAAGGCTAAAAATTTCCTCAAAGTAAAGTTTTTAGGGGTTTCAGCCAACTGTCTTGCCAGAATTGCCTGCACTTGGTTTGTCCGCCATTCACTGCTTGGCTGACTTAGCTTGGCATTCTGTTCTGTAGGTCTGTGGTTACCTGCGACAGTAACTCCATTTGGTCCTCATCATGTGGGGACTCCCTAAACACATTGACCACCTTTGTTTTCTGAGTTCCGACTCACCACATTCTCCTGATTTGCTACCAAGTTCCTGAGGGTGCACACCCAGCGCCATTATTCTTATCACTCTTTTATCTCTTACCCAGAAAATCTCATTCATTCCCAAGGGTTCATGCACCACCTCTTTGCCCACAGCTTCAATCTGTATTTCCTGCCTACACCTCTCCTGTGAGCTTCCTCATCCTCCAGAGCATGTCATTTGTCAACATCTACATCTGAATGTCTGGGAAATCTCAGGTTCTGTATAAGCCCAAACTCATTATTCTGCATCTCCCCCGAGGCCTGAAGGAATGGCCCCACCACTGACCCAGGTATACCCACCCACCTAGGGTTGACTGCACCCTCTCCTTCCCTCCACATCAGTCTGTCCTTTAAGCATGTCTGTGTTCTGTCCCACTCCTCACCACCATCACTTGCTGCAGCTGTGGCCATTCCCTAGTAATGGGTCTCTCCTCATCAACTCAGGCCCGGTTCAATTATATGCTTATATTCAGAGCCAAAGTGATCGTTTCAGAAAGCAAATGAAATCTTGTAATCCCGCTGCTCAGAACAGTTCTGACAATTACTCTTAAGATCAAGGTGGTGAGCTGTAGTGGGACCCACAAGGCCCTGCGTGGTCTGGCCCTTTATCTCTTCTTGCAGCCCCTATTTTCTTCATTCTGACTCCACAGACCTCCAAGCTCTTGGTGTTCCCTCCTGCTGCATTGTGGCTCTCATAGGACATTCTCCTCCTTTATACCCTCACTCAAGCATCATTTTCTTGGGATAGTGTTTCTCTCCTTTTAGTCCAATCCAGGCTCCCTTGTAATACATTCTCAGAGAACCACATTTTTTTTTCCTTTCAGAGCCTTCCACTCCGTGGCTTCTTGCTGTTTATTAGCTTATTCTTTACTGGAGGAGTCTGACATTAACCCCAAAGACCTTTTTTTTTTTTCCCCTGAGTGTTGTGTACCTGGCTACTTAACCTAGTGCCTGGCATTTAGTTGGTATTCAATAAATATTTGTTAGATGAATGAATGATCAAACTTCTGAGCCTGAGGCAGATGTAGTATGTCTAGCGCAAGGGTTTCAGTGCTAGTAATGAAATTTAAGAATAGAAATCACAAGATTTGGCACACAGAGGACATAGCATATTTAGGTCTTCTAATCAGCGAAGTGGGCAAAATTCTCCAAGACTTTTCATCATTGGAAACAGCCTCTTTATTTGTATGTGAGTGTAGTTTTCAGAGTAAATCTTAAACTCATTCAGAGGTCATAGGAAAAATCCTTCTTCTAGCTAAACTACTTAAAGAGGCGGCAGAATCCTGGATGTTTTTAAAATGTGTGAATTAAATCCATTAGCCCCTGTTGACACAGGACTCTGGACACATTGCTGTAAAGTGAAGAGTTTTTTTTCTTTTATGCAGGATCTTCTGCATTGGACAGCTAGTTGGCTTCCTTCTCAGTTTAGTGTCAGCAAGCAAAGCCAAGTGCTACGGTACTTGGACATCAGCGGAGCCTGTTTTACCTGGAGCTTGTTTATTGATTCAGACTCGCCCTGATACTGCTCAGAATACCCAGTGCATCCTTCATGCTCTAAGTTGTGTGTGTTTTTAAAGATCTCACTTCAAAGCCTCAAGCTAAAAAGCTGCTAAAGTCCCAGAGGATGCTGCATCCCTGGTTTCTTTCCTTGGTTTTGGAGATGCCTCTCCTATGTGAGCGTTGGGCTCTGGAGTCACTTTTGTGATTTGTTAAAGACCATGGCTGTCCCCAGTTTAAAAGAGGAAGATAGGCCAGGTGGTAACTAACAGGGGAAGCCATCCCTGGATGACAGAGCAGAGACTATGGGAGGGTGGAGATACGTTATTTTGTCCCATTGTAAACAGCTCATGCTCTTAGCTGCTAGCAGAAAGGTTGGTGGTTTAAGTCCACACACAGGTGCTCTAGAAGAAATGTTGGGTAATCTTGTGAAAAAATCAGCCACTGAAACCCGTATGGAGCACAGCCCTACTCTGACAAGCACGGGCTCACCATCAGTTGGAGATGACTCCACGGCAGCTGATTTTCTTAGTTGTTTTCTTATTTTGTTTTGGTTCTTGTACAACTAAATCCTGCCCAGGTAATGTTCATTAGCTCAGTGGACCTCAAAGCTTGCTCCATGGACCAGCGGTATCATCCTCACCTGTAGCTTGTTCCCCTCCCCCAAGCCTACTGAGACAGTCTGAAAGGAGCCCTGCAGGTGGGTCTGATGCAACTCCAGTTTAACAGCCCGTGTTGAATAGTTTAGGACCCTTTCCAGTCTCACCTGTGGACATTCATTCAAATTTTATCATTATTGATTTTTTTAAAAATGGACTTGTCAAGGCGCCTTCAGTGTAAACACTTGCTTCTATTATGCTGAACCAAAGTATGTTTAATGGCA